ACATCAAATGACGCAGTCATGTTGATTACATCATTAAAAAGTATTATCAAAGAGGTTTAGCAGCATTTAATTACCAGACACAACACTGAAAGCAGACAATTACATGAAGGGAACACTGATCAAGCAATCAACGCACTGTTTCCAGTGTGCAGGAGTTACAATAAATCCAGCATAAGGAGCAGACTCGCAGTGAATTTTGATTAAGAAAACTCTGAACTTTACATCGCTCCCTCATGTGTGGCCTTCTCATCCCCCTCCAGTCTCTTCCTCTCCTCCTTTTCCATCCTTGACTACCGTCTTCCATCCCTGCCACAACCTGTCCCCTTTGGGCAACAGTGTACATGGAGTCTAATAGGACGCTTCTTACCTTGGGAATTAGCCTGTAAGACCCCGATGCTGTCATCAAACTGCATAGACTTGATGTTGAGTGATGCCAAGATGCATTCCTTATCCTGCAGTGAGGCATCTTCGATATTGTTCTGATTGGCTGACAGTATTACGCACATGTCACAGAGGTTGATGTTGACAGCCCTTAAATCTGCCCGACTTAATGGTGTACCCTTCAGGGTGAGGAGAGCACAGAGAAGGAGCAAGACGGCGAGGGAGAGAGAGAGAAAGAAAGAAAAACAGAGAACAGACAGACATGGGAGAGAGAGAAAAACAAATTTAAGAAGTGAGCGGACTAGAGCTTTGGGAAATTAGTTAACAAGTATTCTTGTTTTGAGGCAATGACATTCCACTGATCTAACCAGGCATTAGAGATTCATAGACATGGACTAATATAAAGGCTAGCTTGCGCTGAAGGCTGCTTTTGGGATTTTTCTCTGATCATCAGTCAAACCAGGCCTAACAAGCTCCAAGGCACCGAGCCATCTGTGATGGGCACTGCAGCTGCACCACTTATAAACTCTTCTTTGGATCTGCAGGATGTGTCACTGCTCCAGATGAGGGAGGTTCACTGAACTCTCATGGAGTGATCACTCAATTGAGCAATGTGTGATGGAATCAAAATGACAACACCCTGCTCAATATGTGTGCCAATCAAAATATCATAGTTAAATCAGCAGATTTCGGCCTAAGATTTTTTTACCCCGTGCCGGTGAACTGAAACACTCACAGGTAAGATGGAAACCTTTGGAAAGTTGTGTAAGGTTTCCCACTCTCTCCGAAGGTAGTCCAGCGAGCCCACAAAAACTATAGGCTTTAGCTCATGGTAGTGAAAGTTGCTGGCTCTTAAAGGCATCACCAAGTTTCGCAGCCCCACTAAGGCAGACGTGACATCCCCAAATATACAGACCACTACATGGCCGCTCAGCACAGTCATGGAGGCTTCACTCCGGGTCTGCAGGAAACAGAGGAGGGAGGGAGGCGAATGGGAAAAGAACACAGGAAGAAATGAGAACGAGAGGAGAACACTAAAAAAAAAAAAAACAGACTGTTACATAAATTAAACAAGTGTTTCTTATTTAAAAGAAATATCAGTGTTTACAATAATTTTAAAAGAGATTAAAATATTTTGGGATATTTTCTCCCACAATATTCGCATTTGTCTCTCTGAGTTTGGCTATTAAATATAAATAGGATGCCTTCTAACTCTAACCTTACAACATGAACAAGGTAAAGTGAAGATGATATTGATTTTTTTTATTCTCCTAAATAGAACATATGATTAAAGAAACAATAAAAATAAAACAACTGTAAAAATGTTCTGCCAAAGTGAGATTAAGCTATTTCCTGCCTAAATCTTTGTCACACAAATTTCAAGTTAAACCAAATGTGAGTTCAAAGACATAAAATATTCTTGATATAAAGCTAAAACCTAAGCTCTGTTTATCACAGGCACAAAATAGTAAAGTTTTGTGTGTTTACTGTTTCAAACTGCCTTTTATGTTTCTGTTTTCTGCCTTTTCTTTTGCCTAATAACAAATACATTTTGAAACCAGTTTTAAGGAAACACTGCAGCTCAGTGCTTCATTCTAAATATGTTAGAACTAATATTTTAGGATTCGTTATCTGTGTATAAGCCACATTGTTTTACTTTTCATTGGAACATGGTTAGCCCCATGAAAGAAAATATGCATAATGCTAAATGTTAAAAGTCTGACCAAAAGTCTTTGCACAGGTTCTTGATATCATTTCCCATAAATATATAATAAAATATATAATAAAACAAACTCACCTTGAAACAACAGAGAGGCAGTGAAAAAAATGTCAGTACACATTAGTATGTGATTGTGTTTCTGATGCATACATGGGGAAACACTGGTTCCTAAGCAAGCTTGGCTTTTGCATTTTTTGTGTGCTTTTGATTGTGATAATTGCACGATTGCAGTTCCCAAAGCTCCATTCAGCCCCGCTTACCAGGATGACCTTTTCGATGTCTTTGGAAGGGCACCAGTGAAACATCCCGGTTGAGTCGTACCTCTTCACGTTCATGTCCATGTTCTCAATTTGCTCATTTCCAGGAATTAGAAGAGGATCGTGTCGACTGAAAAACACAGCAAACGTGTTTTGTGATTATGGTCGGTGAATCACGAGAAAGATGTCAGCATGTTAAAAGTCCATCCTTGTTTCAAGACATTTTAAACTCCCTGCACTAAATCATGTGGGCCCCATAACTACAATATTGTATTATTCAACCATTTCTTCATTTTCTTAGTGTCAAAATATCAGAAAACCCATAAGCATTTTTGCTCACATTGCTTTGAATGCTACTGACTAAATGACACAAAGCCAAATACCAGCTTTAACCCTCTTTTTCCAGTTCCTGACACTGTGTGGAGCAAATAGTAAAAGCTCCAACAGGCCCAAAATTTTAAATATTTCAGGACTTTGCCTAATCACATTTTGCTCATTCAAACGATGCCATTAATGTTTCATCAGCATGTTACAACCAAAACAGGCTAATCCACAGCAGTGGGCTGCTGAGTTAGATTTAGTGTAACACTGACCATGAAAAGGCTACACGCCTTCCTTTTATAGCTTCTGTCCTGCTGTATTTATTCTAGAAGGCATGTTCTCACACTTTCTCTAAACGCAATCAAGATGCAAAAAGAATGTATTTACTCTTTAACCCAAATAAAGCAGCACAAAGTGCAGACTCCTACAGCCAAACTGCAGAGAGACAGACGGGAATATTATGGGAGAAAACATCTCAAGAATTTGACATACATCTCTCTCACTATCACTTTCTGTATCCTCTATCAACACTGCCATTCACTGACAGGGCTTTGATGTTGTCTCTTCCTCCAACCTGCATTTGGATTGCATGCCATCGCAGGAAAAGTCAGAGTGGGGGGGGGGGGGGGGGAGAAGAAAAAAAAATGCTGTCAATTAGCCACCCTCTCTTTCCTGAGCTTCTTCTCCTTCTACCCTCCATCAGCTGGAGCAGGTGATAATAACACTGACAGCATTTAGTGTTTTTACACTCAGCCTGAATCTTTCATCCAGAGCCGCGTGTTGCGCCAATCAACTCCGCGGAGCCCGCCGTCACTTCAATCTGCTCAGCTCAGCTCGCCTCCACACGCGGGCTGACTGGCGCATGCAGGCGGGCTGCTGCTCCACCTCTCTCTGCCAAGACAGCTATCTTTCACAGAGCTGTCAGCGATGTGACTGGCAGCCTGTCACCGGCTCCACTCACCCACCCCCTCTCCTCTTTCCTCTTCCTCCTCCGTGCCTCAGGCTGAACCTACCACAAGGCTCAGAGAAGCAGACATCACGTCTGCGCTGCGGGGCCACGCCCAGGGGATATCAGCTGCCGATGATACAGTGACATCCTCTGATAGTGGATGTGCGCTGTCAGTCAGGACCCGTCTCAAATGTTTAAAGAGCAGTTTTAAAAGCCATGGTGCAATGTAGCTAATTTGAACTATTGTTACTTATTTGTTTACTGATAATAAAATAAAAGTACTACATGTCACGTTTAATATAACAAAACTAATAAATTACTGTAAAAAATGTTTTTTCCCAACATTAACCAAAACACCGCACTGAAAAAAAATTAATATAACATCAGATTGAAAAACAAATATTTTTCTCAATTTTCCGTATGTGTGTGTATTTATTTTTTTCTAGGGGCATTTTGCAAAGAGAAAAACAAGTATTTCCCTTATAGCATATCTCACTCCAGCCTCACCCCGTCTCTTCCCTTCGAACTCTTTCCCTCTGTATAAATTTCAAACAGAGCCGAGTTATACCAGCGCATCACTCTGCAGTCACAAGCTGGGGATGGGCGTGCTCCCCCAATCCCTCTCTGCCAGACTACGAAGGCAGCCTCTCGCTTTGAAAATTTTCCCCATCATGCAAACTGACAAAGGCATGCTTTTCAAAAGCCCACAGCCAATCTGTTGATCATTATTTATTTACAAAGACCTTCAGGCAGCGAGTCCTGTAAAAAACCGTACTTGATACGTATGTTGGCTCTCTTGCTGGCTCTCGATTGTGCCCCCTCCCCTCCTTTTTTTTTATTGTGAAATAAAGTTTCCCCAAGGCTACCTCGAGCAATCACTTTTCATTGTGCATAAAAATCCACCAAATGTTTAATATATGTTGTGTTATATGTTGACAGGGGCGGCAATGAATAGAGAGGGGCAGTGGATTATGATGGGTAATGTGATGTTCTGCTAAGGGCTAAGTCTTGTTAAACAAAGAAAGAAAAGAAAAATCTACACCTATAACAGAGGACCTGTCATCCCAGCACCCAAGAGCCAGCCGTATTCAGAAGCACCCCTAAAGCGGAGAAAACTTTGACACCACTTTGAAGTGTTTTCGAAACTGAGCAAATAACTAACAAGAATTATTATCACCGAAAGATCAAAGCAAAACGCATATATTACACGGCAAACAGGGACCATCATTTGAGTGGAGAGGGATGAGAAGAAAAGGTTTCATGCTTTACGTTAGGCAAACTAAACCGCCTTTTAAATAAGCAGTTAGCTGGAAATATGCCAGTGTCTAGTTGTTTTTTTTAAGTGGTTTTATTCCTCTGAGCAAGGGCATCTAAACTGATGCTCTGCTGCAAACTAGACTGAAGGGTACGACTCTGTGTTGAGCTAATGGTTTGGCAAGTGTAAAGGCTTATTAAGTCCTTGTTTCGCAGAGAACTGAGGGGGAGGCAGACAAGTATGCTGGACAAAAATCACAAAGGCACAACAGAGCACAGGGAGCATCGTTGCCTGGGGGCGCCCAGCAAAACTATAAGAAAAAAAAACTCAGCCAGAGTAAAAAGACAACACATAAACAGAACAATAAGAGACTATGGTATTTATCAAAAATAAAAATGGGCAATTATGGGGGTTATCATATACATTTATATACAAAAGGCAGATTTTAAAAATATTTTTGTGCCTTTTTTTTAACAATATGTGTAAATTCTAATAAAATCCACAGATGGCAGCATGAATACAATACAAGCTTCAATAATAACATTAAAATCATTCTTATAAGGAGACCAAAGTGTTGCAAAGGCTGTTTCTCTCCTGTCCTATTTATATCAATGTGCCGTTATTGTGCCATCCTAAGCTCGGCCTCCATGTTTTCTCCACGTTTCCATGTGTCTCACCCCGCCTCGCAGCCAGAGGTGCACAAAAACTACCCCTTTTATCTTTCAAAATCAATTAACAGCACTTTAATTCCACCGGACAGGATAAAAGGAAGGTAATATTTGTATTCATATTTGATTGTGATAATACATCTCGCATATTGCCTTAAGTAGCAGAAACAGTACTCGCAGGGGTTCCCACAATAGAGAAGTCGCCTAAGGGCAAAGCAACCATGCAGGTCTCTCTGATTGGTTGCCGGTGTCATTAGTGCCAGCATTGTTTAAGTAGTACATGTGGACCAGACTGGAGGAGGTGACAGCTGCGACTTTAAAGCCAGAGGAGTTTTCAAGCGGCTCCTCGCAGCTGCTTTTCATGACGGAAATATTATTTCAGCTCTGTCATTAACAGCTGACAGCATGCCATCCTAAACAGCCAGAGCTTTAACGGGGCATTTCTCCTCTCTTTTTTCTTCCACAAAGTTTCTCACCTCACTCTTCTGCCAATCCTAATTTGCCCCCCCCCCCACCCCACGCCCCATCCAACCCTCACTCATCACACCGTCAGCCCCGCTCTGAAGTATCTCTCAGACGCATCGCTCCTTCCCTTCCTCCTGCCCGCCCTCCCCCCTCCCTCTTTAGTTTGACGGCTGCAAGGAGAAGGAGATCACGAGCCCTTACCTCATCATTTTGGGAGAGCAGTTGGGCGAGTTTCGCATCCCTCCGTTGCGCTGCTTTTTTTTGGGCGAGAGCGTCGACGGATGCTCGTCTTCGACTGCAAATACACGTGCAGAGTGTCAGAACAGAAGACGAGAAGACTGAGACAGTGTGATGGGCCTGACAGGGAAAGGTAGCCAGCAATCAATCAAATCATCGAAAACAAAATGAAAAGAATCAAATCAAATGATACAAAAAATGAAACAAAAAAAAGGGTACAAGAGAAAGAAAACTTAATGATTCAGTTTGACACTGAGAAAATGTAGAGGAAGCATTAGTAACATTCAAGGGTAAGATCTAAAAACTAAAAAAAAGGCAAGAGGATAACCGGAAAGAAAAAATAATTTAAATTTTAAAAATGTCACAGAAAGCTCACATCTCAAACTTCCTTATGTTGCTATATTTATTTAAAGGTGCACTTCATCGTAGGATACTGAGTGATGCACTGTTACATCTGTCTAGGTGGACCTCCAGACATCAAAGTGGCATTGCTTACCTACACCATCATTTGCCATAAGCGTGGCCAAAGCAGTGAAAATGAAATAAATGTTATAAAGATGGATCTTGAATGGGTTTATTTTGGTTTGGAAAATGAAACTATTGGTTCCCCACCCCATCATGTCAGCTCTAACTAAAGCACTCTAATACAGGTCTACCTCCATGCCAGTTAGCATTCAGCACACATAATAAGGCCAAGGAACGCTAATACACAATATGGATTAGTGGGCTATAAAGTCGGGGAAGGAGCTGCACATAATATTTGAGTAAAAAAAAATATCAGGACTGATGTTATGTGTTTAATAAATAAAAAGAAAATGTTTTCTTTTAAGACCTCGTGCTTACTTCTGCGTTTGAAGCTTCGGTGCATTTGCAGGATGGTGATCTACAGCCTCTTCTTTTAGTTCCCTGTCAGCTAGGCTTGGCTTTGTTGAGGAACAAAGATATACATATTCTTTAAACTTTGCTTGGGTTCCAGCTCCAGAGTGAAGCCACGACCAGCTGTTTGAAGATTTCAGTCGAGCAAACAGCAGTCTGATCTTCACTACTGTCGCCTGTATACGTTTCAAGCACTTCCAGACAGGCAACCAGACACTCCTCTTCAATCTGCGATCTCCAAGTGCAAATGCCAAGTGCAGCGTCACTTCAAACCCCCATCAGTCCTTTGGTTCGAAATCAATAACACAGCATGATATTAGTGCAAATCAATGCTCACACTGCAAGCTGTGGCTATTCCGAGCGTGTGGAATTTCATTAACGTTTGAACAATTCTTGTCTGTCACTTGATTCTGCTAATAAAAGATAAGAAACATGACTTTGCCTTCTAATAAAATGTCACTCTCTGACATTTCATTTATGCAACTGGGCAGTCAGAATATCTAATAGCATTCGCCACTGCACATTCTACAAATTATTTGCTCATCCTCAACACACATTTTAAAATACCACATCAAAAATTAGGCATTCCTGGCTACTTCGATACACACCCTACGACAATAAACTTAAATGCTTTCAGCTGCTGAATAGTTAAGTCGTTCACATGTATATTTATATTCAGCTCAGAAAATGTCTGTAACATCCAAATTTACAATGTTTGCCACATCTCTGAGCGTGGAAAAAGAAGAAAAGCAACTCTTTTGTGGCTAATAGAAATTCAGCATCTTTACTATACGTCAGGCAAATTTGTGCAAAACAACAGCAGAATCTCCTGCAGAGTGAGGCATCGTGCAGCAAACAAGAGGCGGGATGGGACGGGTGGGATTACTGACTGATGCATCCCACTAATGGGGNGGCAACCGACTGTGCCTACTGTGACTGAGCAGCATGGCATTATTAGGCTGGCAGCAGTATTTCGCCAATAGACTACGGGGCACGGCTCATTTGTCTCTCAGGCCTCGATCTGGCCACCACATCGCCCAGACCTGAGATACTGAGGTGCAGCTGTGAGGGGTCAGCCTCGGGCCCTGGCCCCACAGGGGAGCAGGCTTCCTTTACAAGTATTAACAAGGGCGATGCTGGCTGTGTGCCGGTTGACCAGAAAGTCCTGGTTGGCATTTGGACGGAATGGTTTTGAGGTGATGAAAGCGGTGCAGCCGGTGGGGTTAACTGATTAGATTTGAAAAGATGCCAAACTGTGGGGAATAAAAAGGGTGAGAAAATCTCTACTAATCCAACATTTAATTATATTTATATTTATACATAACAAAATAGCTGTATAATACATTTTCTCTTTTCAACTTTCACTGAAGCAACTGTAAAGAAAGTCTGGATTCACATTTTTTTTTCTATAACTGGTGTTAAAATGGAACAGAAGCGTTCACAGTGACATTTCCTCTGAATTTTGTGAAACAAAAATCATGAATTAATTAGAAGGTTCTCGGTTCTGTTTCTCATTTGTGCTTCGCTTTCTGGTAAGACAACGCTGAGACACGGCTCTGCTGATTCCAGTCAAATCCAATCAAGCATTGTCATTTCAGCAACAAGGCTTGAAACAATACTGTCATCTAAACAAAACTAAAAACTATAGCTACGATTTCATCCGTTTAAATAAGGACTAATTCAGAACGTTTTAATGATTAAACATTGTTTTTGTTTTGGATTATGTAAATAAATCACTTGCACTTTGCATATGCACATTTGAGATGTGTCTACACACACAATCTAATTGTCTGGGTTGTCTGCCTGTATGTCTGTACATACTGAAGGGGTCATGGCGTATTGCAGGAAGAAAACAAAAGAATACACGTAAAAGATCTGGTTGCAAAGTTGACTGTGAGAGGCAAAGCCATTTTCTTCTCTTTGGTAGGAGGACGGTTGGTCGGCTGTTTGGAGAGAGCATGCTTGGGTGGCCCAAGGCAATAAACAGACGTTTATCCCAGCCGTCAGCTGCCGCCTTGATTTACAGGGCGCCACCGATAGCTCCTGGATTCATCTGGCCCTTGTCAAACACGTGCAGCGTTACAGAGCATTCAACCGCCCTGGCAGGTCCACTGTGCATCCTGAACAACCCAGACGGCAACTGTCCTCTCTTGAAATGCTAATCGCATGATGGTACTGTCCTGCATGCAAACCTTATCGGATCGCTCTTCCCTAATGTAAACTGGATGATGAGGTGGAGGAAGAACAGAAAATGTTTACTTCTGTACGTGAGCTAAGCTGGCATTGCCTTTAGTGTTAGCCGCATGAACAAGCTTGGTCCTTCAACTGCATGAAATTGCACTTTAAGCCATGCATTGTCTTATTACAACTACAAAACAAACAAACAAACAAACAAAAACTGATTTATTGATTGCTGTGATTTTTTTTCTTTAGTTTCGCAGATAGCCATTATTTACGGGGGAAAAAAAATACTGTCACTATCAAAATGTCTACAAGGACTTAAAGGTATATAAACATAAAAAAGTCTAAGATGAAAAACTTTTTTAAAAGTAGATATCCTTATTATTTAAAGGTGCAATAACAGTTAATTCATTTACAAGTTGTTTGCCAAAGATTTACCTATATTGCAATCAGCTTTGAATCGAACGCCAGTCTCTTTATGGCTTCCACTGTTCCCTGGTGTTGTAGCGCCATCTGCTGCTAAACGCAGCACAATACAAAAAGAATATTTTATGGAACTGCATGGCATTTATCAACACACAATTAACTCTCTTTATTATGCATGAACACCAGGAATTCACTACTTTAATATATTGTAAATATATGTTTAAAAAAAACTTTGTGGTACTTAAGTTAGAATTAAACTTCTTTTTAAATAAGTATTAAATATGACACTATTTAAATGGAGTTTACAGTTAGACTTATAACAGAAATATAAACTTCATGATCAAAGGTCAACAGAGCAACTATGACATGTTGAGGGTGGGGAGGACTACGGTCAAACACAAAGCAAGAGCAGAGGGGAGAAGGGCAGAGAAACACACTTACGTGATCTGACAAATCCATTATACTTATATTTGGCTGAGGAGAATGCAAAGACAAGTGGCAGGTCACATAGAGAGAGACATCAACATAAGAGTGGAGGATGACGATGGAAACAAAAGGGATGTCATTAAGAGGTGAGGGTAGCAAATAAAAAACAAATAAAACTCCAAGTGGAATGAAAAACTAAAATAAATGGAGAACTGATGCTGATCGTGGTTTGGAATGATCTCAGAACAAAAGCAGGGATATGAATGAACAAACAGTTTCTTCTCAGAGTGTGCCATGCTTTTAGGAAAGTGTTCTAATCAGATGAAATGACGATCTAATGGAAAACTTTAAACATGTTTTACAAAAGATTTAATTGCTTCTAGTTTTACATGTTGATTTAGAGTTGATTGACATTGCGCTGTTTGTAATAAAGCCACAATGATGAACCTACTTTAATGCATGAAGATATTTAAAAGAACAAAAAAATAAATAGACAAAGCACTACTGTAAACAGCCAAACTAACAGAGCACAGATACCACACGCATGCAATCCAAAACCTCTATACCCACAATGTTGTTGTTGTTGTTTATTTTTTTTAAATTGAGACTTTTCCAAATATGGATTTAATGCTGTACTAAAATCCAGAGGTTGTTTAAAAAAAAGATGGTCCAAGGTCTCCGTTTATGCCTGGGCAGTTAATTATTGAGGAATTACAGTTTCTGACCTTGACTGAGGAGATATCATAGATTGGTTTGGCTATAACTACTGGAGTGAGCACTTGAACCAAGCTCTGAGCAGCTGACACTCTCGCCTCCCCCCCACCCTCGTCTTTTTGCCAAAGTCTCTTTCAGCAATAAAGGTCACAGTGCGGACCCAAGGCTGGCCGGTGACAAAGACCCTCAAAACAGGGACCCACAGTGGCCCTGGCATCTGTCTCGAGCAATCTACCCGCACCGCGGCAGACTAACTAGCTAGCATCTGGGGCGCAGCAACGCAGCATAGGACAGAGGGTGGGCGGGGGGTGTGGGTACCAAGCCTGCCTGGTGGACAGGAACTGTCAGGGCAAGTTTGGTGACAGACCAGCAAGGCTGGGAAAATGAAAATGCAAACATAATTTCTGTGTCGAGATAGATAAGGTCCTTCGAAATGAGATGCAGATCCACACACATGCAAAGACACGGCGATAAAAGCACATCCTGCTAGGGACTCGAGATGTGCACAGAAACACACACACACGCACAGCCCAGAGGTTTGTGGACAAGCCAAAAGCATCCAGTCTAGACTCCAACCTCAAACAGCACAGCGGCCTCACAGCTACTCCATAACACAAATCCTGTTGCAACCAATTCACTGAGGATTTTCTGAAACGATCGTGATCCGGTCACAAAAACGCACAATAAGGAAACAATTTCAACACGCAAAGAAACGCCTTAATTAACGAACAACTTTAGGAGGATATAGGTTTACGAGTCAAGTTAAAAAAGTTCAACACCGACCAGTTTCACAAGTAACAGTAATGCTGACCTCACATAACATCATAAAAACTACAAACACATTTAACCCACTTTTTACATAAAAAGAAGGGTCTGGTGTCAACATTTGACTTCAGCTCAGATTAAATTAAACTGCTTTGTCAAATAACTCAATTAAAGGTGTCAAAACATCTGGTTGTGATCTACAAGTGCAATGTCTATTCCACTCAGACCAGTGAAAAACACACAATAAAAAAAAGGAACAGTGAGAGGAAACCCAGCAATCCCTGCCTAACAAAGCCCAATACTTCCCTCGCTAAACTCTGTTCATTCAGAGTTAAAAAGGCAAAGAAATCTAAGAACGAGGAGGTTTTCCTTAAATCCTACAGGGGGTTGAAGGAAAAGTGAGATCAGTTACCATGTAATAGTCAGTAATTGGTACCGAGGGATATCAGCGCAGGCCCCAACTACAAGAGGCCAAGCCAAACTCATCATGCCGTGTTTGACACTAATCTGGGCTGAGTCGGCAGACGGTGGGAGAATGCTGAGGAGGAAATCAGATCTGTATGTCTGAAACCAAGGCTTTGATAGCCAAGCCTACTGCTGCCATGTCTAATTGACAGACAATTTAGTATTTCCCCTCCACTCAAAGAAACAAACGTAAAAAGGGAGCATCCACTCTCTTCTCTCCTTTTCTCTTTTTTGTGCATCATAAAGTTAATCCTTTTTGCCATTTTTTAAACTAATTCATCTTTTTTCTCCTGTAATAAAATCTCTAAAACTATAATCTTCTGAAGTCACCTACAGGAAAGACTGACCTAATTACTGTTAGAGGATGGCTTCTGTTCTGTATAAAAAAAATCTGGGGGCAAAGTTTCAAGAATTTGTCTTCAATAAATGTCTAAAAGATTAAAAGGAAATACCTAAAGAAAGTGTAACAAATAAATAAATTAGCAAATTTGCATGCTCATAATTTTGTATGTTTGCTGTAAATAAGCATAATATTTTGGAAATTTAGAAACTAAACATAAAATTGCTAACAAGGTTTTAAACAACTAATAAATTCAAGAGAAGCATTACCTGAGAGGAGATAAATTCATTTATATTCACTAACTTTTGCGAAATGTAAAAAAAAGTTCACAGTAAAATGTATTTAAAAAAGGCAAAATGTTTACATTTTTGTACAAATTTTACAAATAAAAATAAAAAAGGTAGTGCACGACTACTTTTTAATTAAAGATTTTTTTCAGCTTACAAACATTAATTTAAATATTCAATATTAAGTTCTTATTTCTGTTATAAAAATGTTTATGTATAGTTGCTAAATAAGATAGGGAAAAAAAGAAAAGACAAATGTCAAACCAAAAATAAATAAATACGTAAAAAAATAAAAAGTAACTAAGAAATAAAAATAAAATTTAGCAACAACAAAGTTTGCAAACAGATAAGTCAGTGAACTTTCGTATAAATTAAAGATTCAGACACAGTTTAACAAACATTACGAGAAAAATGCAGCACAAAACCTTAGAAATTTATTTGTTGTTTCCATTTGTGTAAAGGTGGACATCTTACCTTGAACAGTCATAAAAACATCAAACACCACGCTCCGAAAGTGAATTTTTTCACACAACTGCATGATTGTTGCAGCATGCGTTAGCCACATGTCTAACTGTACAGCAGCACCACAGAGCCACACCACCACTTACCCACCACATAAAGGAAACAAAAATAACCTTAAAATCTAATTAGAGCGATTAAAATACCAAGAACTGAATATTAAAAGAAAAAAAAACTCACATCGGCCACAGCTTCACAAACTATGGAGTCACAATAAACAAGTCACACCACACAGACGACACCTGGACACAAGTACAGTACCTCTGCATAGGACACGACACGGAGCACACATCACAGACATGTAACAGCATGTGTTGGGCGGTGTAACTTACAGGCACGTAAAGTGGTTGCGCAATCATGAACAGAGACAGAGGAAAGTGGGTAGGCCCTCTGAAGGGTGTCCATGTTACTATGTACACTGCCTGACATGCAAGAGCAGTCTCGCTCTGAACGGCCGCAATCAAAACAACATGCCAGTTTCATTCGTTTGTAGACGGACATCTTGGCTACAGTCATGTTTGGGGATGAGAGGAGAGGAGAAGCAGCAGGTTAATGGCAAAAAGGAGAAATAGTCATATAGGGGGAAGTTGGAAAGTAACTTCATCAGAAAATGCAAGCCTTAGCCATCTGACCCACAGACTTGAGCCTCAAATTGGATTAGCACACACAACTTATTACAAATAGATTCATGAAAATACGGTTTCATGACTCTGCTGTGCAAGAAAAAAAGCTAAACAGACACTGATAAATTAAACTTTTTTTGTACTGAGGTCAAGCTGTGTGCTAAGGCTGAAACAGATTCAAAGGACAAAAAACCATAACTGTGGAAGAGAGGGGAGGGGGGAAGGAGAGAGGGGGGGAGGGAGGCATTCAGGAAAATAAAGAGATGAGCAATGTCATCAGCAGCAAACCGTTTACATTCGTTCATACATTTGTCCATCCTCTAGTGGCTCAACGTACCTGTGTCCCATCATGCAGCTGTAGGCTCGTCCGTATCGGCATCACACTACTCTACCGGCTAGACTGGTCTACTCATGCTGTTAACCAAGACCTGCAGTTTCACTGCTCCACTCCCCAAAGGGTGTTTGACTTATTGTACATTTGAATTACTGGTGTAACTGGAAACCATCAACGGTTCAACTATAGAAACAAACACATGTATGTTAAAGTATCACATGCGCAATGATGCTGGTTTAGAAATGTTCTGTTTTTTTCTTGTTGCAAATGTAACAATAAAAACTATAACCAATTTGACCAGTGGTCTTGCTCAAATTGCTTTATTGCTTTGTTATGACTTGTGGCTAAACATCACTAAACTATTTGGCTTAAATCTTCAAAAGGTTTTTTGGTATTTATTCCAAAATATCAGTTCAACTCTGAGATTCTACTCAACCATAATGACTGTATAAACATTTCAAATTAATCGACCATTTTGCAGTTATGAGTATTAGCGGAGCCTAACTCTTCTGGGTCACAGGCCAGCTGGTAAAACGCTGAGGTTACTTTGAGAATTGTGCAAATTCAACTAGTTAAGAAGCACATTTATAGCTTCGATATCATTTATAATTCTAAAGGAAAGTTCAACATGAATCAGTTCAAAGCATGAATAAAATGGCATAAAAATAAACATTCAGTTTTTTCAATTTCAATGGCATTTTGAAAGCAACCTCAGCGTTTTCTCAATAAACTTGTGAGCTTGGCCCGCTTTGCGCATTTGTAACAATTTTTAACTACAAAATGGTCTATTAGCCTCTACATTCTAACAGGCAATTTGGAGACAAAGATTTTAGATATCTTTAGAAAGTAGCATTACACAGTTTATGATTTTTGTAACTTCTTTAAATTCGTATGTTTACGTTTGCATGGGGAAAGCTTGAACCCAAAGGGGAGCAGAAGTGAAAGTCCCCAGAGACGCATCTCTAGAGTGCTGTGACTTTGGGCAGAAACAGACCCTGATCCCCATTCTCTCAATAGCAAGGTGCAAACAGACAGCAGGGTAATACCGTCTGGCACCTTCACAGAGACGCTTTTAACATCTTTGACTCTGACTTGAATTGGAAAAACCAGATCTTAAGTAAAGTAAAAGGTTTGAACCTCTGGCCACGGAAAGAATGGGAAACGCAGATTGTCAAGAAGGCGACAGGGACTGCTTTATTTTGTGGCATGCACGTATGCTTTACGAGCATGTGAGAAGCATGCAAAAGTGCAGTTCTGCTCTCAGTAACAAGGAAAGGGAAAGAGATAACCGTTCACAGTAATGAACCAGTTTTGAGGGAGGAGGGGGTGTGCAGACATGTGCAGGGAGGCTATCATGCTCTTAAATTAAGAGGGGTTTTTTTTTTTTGGCTTGAGCATTTGGACCACAGTATATATAAGTAACAATGTTCATTCCTAACACAATGGAAGGAGGAATGGAGAACACGAGACACGCTCACACACAACCAACACACACACATTCTCCGACAATGTCCTTTACTTCTGATTTCACCAGTAACCTGATTGCGGCCCATTGTGGGACATCTTTGATTGATGATTCAACATAACAGTTACCCTGATGAAGAGTCCACATTGGTGTTTAATAGGTCACCAAACAGACAGCAATCAAGGCGTTATGTTGAATTTAAAGAATGTCCCAAAGAAAGCAGCATTCTGACATACAACCCCACCTTCAAAAGCTTTCTTATTCAGCAAGAGTGCAAGGACAGTGATACTGCTGGCTCAAGACTTTTGAGCAATTATGCATCATGTAAACATTAAACACCAAGGAGTACAAAATGACGCTAAACATTCAGGATCTGTAAAATGTGTCGAGTTTTAGGTCACATTTTTATATGAATCCACACAAACACATTAATCTGCTCCTTGTAGTTTTGCTGAACAGCTTTCAGGGGGATTTGAGTTTTCCTCTGCAGACATCACAATTTACAAATTCATATTACTGCACAGGACTGGTAAAGTATCACCATCTAGTGGCAGCTGGAGGCTATGACATTTACTCTGAGCAATCCTCTTTTCACCCAGTGCAGCGAGTTAAAGCAAAACATTAAAAAATAAAAATAAAAAAGAAGGGGAACTGACGACTCTCCAGAGCTGAAATGCACGAGACTGCTGCGGTGACATTTCAAGTCTGAAAGGAAGTGATGATCTCTAAAATCCTCAGCCAACATTTAGGAAACAGGCTGAGATCACAGCGAATTAGGCCAAGAGGGAGACCAGAATGTTCTGATTGTGTTTTGGCAACTTTTTTTTTTTTGCTAGGATTAAAAAAAAAAAAGATTTCCCAAGGAAATTTCTGCTCCCTGAAAAATAAATAACAAAAAATAATAATTAAAACATTTATGTGTGTATATATATAAATCTTCACACAAAACTCCCTTCGACAGATCTTCTTAAATCTGAGCAGATTGTGTTAATTTGCTTGACTTTTCTCCATTAAAGCTATGCTAGCAGATGAGCATCCTATTGTTTTATTTTTCTGCATGGAATAAATTTTCTTGGAGCATTACAGTATAAGGAGGTAAATCAAAAATAATGACATGGGACTTGCGGCAGATTAACTTGTAAACGCAAAAGATGAGTTCAGTTTGATGCTCAAATTATGACCAAGAATTTGAAAGGTCATCAGTCACATCCAATCAGGTCATGTTTTATTAGTCCTTTTCAGCTATCAGCCTATAAAAAAAACAACCTTATGACTTAATTACAGCTGTTTTGGGTTTTTGTCTGGTCTGAGCTCAGTGTAGAAATGGGAGGCGAGGAGAAGGATGCAGAAGCTACACTGGTACATGCAACATAGATACAATATACTATTTGCTGAAGAGGAAAAAATAAAGAAATAAAACACACTGCACTCTGGGTAATAGGACACCCAATCTTTTTTTTTTTTTTTTTTTTTTTACTCACAATAAATCACTACCAGTGAGTAGTTAAAATAAAGTGGTGTTTTCCAATGGCAGCAGGGAAGGAAATACATCAAAAGTGTGTCACTGGTCATAAAGAAGCATGGGAAAAGAAAAACAATAGAGGAGAACAAAACATGATAAATCAGAACATACAGACAGAATTCCATTGCACTAATGGATCTGCCTTTTTTTTTCTAAATGCAACTCTCTTTTTGGCAATAAGAACATTAAATCTAACACTACGTCCAACACCATTTTCTGAACTTGAAGAAATTAAGATTGCAAACAGCAGTACACAGAGTTAGAATATGAGTGGTTGGTCGATTCTATTGAGCAGGCAGAGTAAAAACACAATGCATGAATAATTTAAATGGCACAGACAAAAAAAGGAAACTAGTAAGTAAATGTTTAAACCAGGCTGTTGTCTGCACTAGGCTGATTACTATAAGCGCCTGTGACCTTTTGTGAAAAAAAAACATTCACCTGAATTATTTATACAGCGTCTAACATGTCCTGACAAGTGAGAATTGTAAGTGCATGCAACATTAATGATGTCATGTCTTTATGACATCCTATAAGTTGGAATAATTAGCACTATTTTATTTTTATATGACTACGGTATGTGTAGCTTTTTTCAATAAACACCATTACCCTATAAAATAAGCAGAAACTGACTTACTTATTTTTAGTGTTTAAAAATAAGTAAATGCTATATCGTTAGCCTCATAGCATAATTACCCAAGAAATATCGGTCACAAATGACTTAGGTACATATGCTACGAGGCTAACAATATTTTAGGGTGTATTCACACCTGACACATTTGGTCCACTTTAAACAGCCCATAGTCTGTTTCCCCCTGTTGGTCCAGACCTTTTATGAGGTGTGAATACACTCATGGTGCAGATTTTTGAGGTGGTCTCGGTCCGCTTCCAAACAAACTGTGGTGCGGTTCGCTTCTGGTGTGAATGCAGACCAGCCTTGAACCGAACCAACTACAGGAAATATGTGCCTTTTTGGACTTCACGAGCCACTGTAGCTAAGCAACATTAGCCCTCCAGTGTTGCTAATGCTAACACTATGCTACAATGAGCTGCTGCGGGTCAGAGAACGTGGAGCATCTCGTCTCCTTTAGGTTGCGGCACGCATTTGACAACGCTGTCCCAAAATTAAGTGTATCATCGCAGAACCGCCACTGAATTAGCTGCTGTTGATATTTTTAATAACCAGTTGTATTAACAGCATCATCTTTATTTCTGGGTCTGTGCTCTGACCTGCCCCCGTCATTTCTCTCCAATGGGAGCAATGACCGTCACCTGCTTGGCTTTGTTTATAAATTATAGTCCACTTGCAAAAAGCACGATGTAAACCGCACCAAAGGGAAAAATAAAATAAAATCTGGACCAAACAAGTGGGCCAAAGGACTTTCCTAGTGTGAATGCACCCTAAGTTTTATAAACAATAGTTGCTGTTGTTCATACTATTTTAAGCGTTTTTACTGTTCCAAGATTATTCCTCTTACATACATTTCAGCCGAACTGGTGTACTGATTTTATTTTTTTAAAATAATTTTAATTGCTGTTAGCACTCAAAAGAAAAGTTTATGATTACATCTAATCATATTTAAAGCAAAACCAAACGTTTTGACAAATGATCGCACCATCATGGATGTTATGACAGCTCAAATGAAACTCATATCAAACACTTTCCAATGAGTATAATGGTGTAACAACAAAAAAAGACACATTTGCACAGAACAAACAACACTGACACAATGAGAGCCCTAATATATGTGCATAAACTAGTAAAACCTGATGTATTTAACAAAAACAGAGACAAACCCTTCATTTGTACACTTTGGAGTGAGGAGGAGGGAAAGGAAGGACACCAAGGGTGAAGGATAAAGGCAGTTACTCACGTCGTTTGCAGCCACACTTTTTAATCCTTTTGGGGTCCGTGATGTCATCGTGACAAGCTTTGCAGTAGAAAAATGCTCTAAAAGTGACAGAGTGAACATATTCAAAGTCCTGAAGGAACCAAACTGTCAATTTTACATGACTGGTGGCTTGGTTGTTCAGTGCGACAGCTGGATCACCTCTTCACTTCTTTGGCATCACTAGCAATAAAGAATCCCAGTGTTCCGTCTTGTAACTTGACATGGTTGCCCGGGTTGATGAGGATGCTGAGCAATCAAACACATACAGACAAATAAAGCTTATTAATGACTAGAACACACTCAGTTCATGCCCACAAAATGCTAATCAAGAGGAATGGTACACACACTCGTTAAAGCTTTTAATTTGACCAAGTTTGAGTTAATCTGAGCTCTTTTTTTTTCATTCTCAGCTCACTAACACTGTGAATGTTCTCCTTTTAACACAACTGTGATGTGGTCCTGAAGCTAAAACAAGAGTCTGTTTCTCTGAATCTGATCAGTTTGCAGATGAGACCCACATGGATGGACAAAAATGTACAACATTATGACTGAACACTGAATTTCAGTTCCTTTCTTTAAAGAATGGTGTTTTGGCCTGGGGGAGGTGAGAACAGGGACAGAGCGGCACGAGTAAAAGGGAAGATTAAAATTATGGCTATGGAGTGGTTTTAGTCTCAGCACTCAAATACAGTCATCTAGAACAGACGTCATGATGCTCACTGAGACATGGCCTCTAGAGAATGAACAGTAAAAGCTGTTGTTTTGGTTAGTATTTGACAGTGGGATGCAAGGGAATGAACAGCTCTTCTTATTAATACTGTTATATTTTACTGGACTGCTCTTATTAAAATACAATTAACAAAAGAACAAAAGTTGAATAGTCCCCTATAAAGTAGCTCTTTCAAAGTAATTAAAATATCATCTTAATAATTTATCCTTTTTTATTATTAAAGACATAACTATCATAAAAATGCATCACAGGATATATATGATAATTTTATTTGTAAGTGGGCTCAATTCAAACTCTATACACACTTACAATGATTGGCTGTATCATTCCCCATTAATTAGACCACAACAAGAAGTACACAACATACACATTTACTGTATTCTCACACACGCACACACACACACACACACACACACACACACACACAC